AAAAAAAAAAAAAAAACAGTTCGGGTCATTTGTCTTGTAGTAGAATGTCCCACTTACTGAATTTGCTGATTATTTCCTCAAGATTAGATTCAGGTTAAATATGTTTGGCAAAAATACCACATAAGTAGTATTATAGATCACTTATTGCATCTGCCTATTGATGATAATAATTACTACTGTTTTACTTGTCCCAAATTAATGAGAAAAGAACAGAAATAGACTTACATGTAAAGGTTCCAGTTGGCCTAGATGAAGGCCAGATGGTGTCCTGGTGCGTTGCATAATCAAAGATTCTGAAGTTGTTGGAGTAGTGAAAAGGGGAGGGATAACTATCTTATTACATGCCTGGCACATGTTAGTACAGATAGGCCCAATTTGCTCTGTAGCAATCAGTACCATATTTACATTTTGAGGGTAATTTAGTTTAGTTTTTTGTTTTTTAAATAAAACTTTTTTTTTTTGAGGAAGATTGGCGCTGTGATAACATCTGTTGCCAATCTTTCTGTTTTTTTTTTTCTCCCCAAAGCCCTAGTACATAGTTGTATATCACAGTTGTAGGGTTGTCAGGGGCAATTTAGTTTTAACAAAATAACATCGTCCTTCATATTAAATTGAGGCTGTTATTTAGAATTTTGTAGTTTTGTGTCAAAATTCTAATTTTAATTGTTAGAGCTATGAACATCAAAAGTTTATACTAGTTTGTTTTATACATATTTAAAAAACTGTATAACAGAAATAATTTGCATCAGCTATGGGGGTGCCAAAAGAATTATTTTCCTTTGAAATAGGTCTATAAATTACTCAAGTAAAGCAATACTGGTTTAGCTCGCTCCATTTATTAGGCACTTCTGAGGCCCTTAGCTTTTGGCCCAGGGAGACTGGCCATAGGAAATGATGATGGAAATAGTAAATGAAAAGTTATTTGGCAATTGGTTTTCTTACTTTTCAACTATTATGTGAATGGCAGTAGTTGCAACTGAGCAGATAATAGTAAAGTAGGTAGATAGCTCCTCAAGCATTCTTGTACAGCACCTGGTGACACGTGCCAAGTACAGAGCAGGGAAGAGAAATTTTCTGTACCCTATTTTATTTTTATCTATTTGCTTCCTTTGTCAGAGGGAAGCAGAAGATAGGAAATTTCAGGAGACAGGTAAATTATTAGAAGCTTATTAAAAGTTATTTTTATGAAATCAGACAGCTTTCTGAGGGTTTTTTTCTTGGAAAGATTAAGATTTCTGCAGTAGTGATTAGATGCAAAATGGTGTATTATGAAGAACATGGGATCTGGAGTTAGAAGACTCCACCACTTATAACACCTAAACAACTTTTGGCAAGTCAGCCCCTCTGAACCTCAATTTCCTCACCTGCCAAATAGGAATAATACTATAGACCCTACCCATTTCACAGCATAGGAAAGGATAAAAATGCTTTGTAAACCATGTATGTTTTCAATTGCTTTTATAAAATTGAGTTGCTTTCCCAGTTTTACAAATGGTCTGTTGTAGTTACATAAGAATCTCCTAATTTGGACTGTGAATTTCTGAAAGTTCGTGTATGGCCCAGCATGTGAAGAAACTATATTCTGGTGAAATAATTAGAGCACCATTGAGCAGTATCTAAGCTGTACTCTTAAAATTAATCAGATCCTAAAAGTGATCAAAATTGAGCAGTTGGTACAAGGAGAAGGAAACTTCCTTTCCACTAGATACCCTTTTATGCTGTTTATTATAGACATGTATTGCCTAGTCAACCTTTATGTAATTGGAGGAGCTCAGAGAGATGTCTGTGGGTTGTTCAGACATGCCCTGACAGCAGCAGGATGAAACTGGGCTATGTAACCGGCATAGAATTCCCCTGGAAAGCTAGGCCAGTGGTTTGCTTGGAATTGTAAAACTCCTAGGGCGACAGGACAGGTCACCCCTTTGCAAGAGCACTAATAACACTACCGTGTCTCCACTTTCAGTGGGAAAGGGGAACCTGTGACTGAACTCAGCTGGCACTCCTGCCGGCAGCTCCTCTACCAGGCGGTAGCCACAATCCTGGCCCATGCAGGCTTCGAGTGTGCTAATGAAAGTGTCCTGGAGACCCTAACTGATGTGGCACATGAGTACTGCCTTAAGTTCACCAAGTTGCTGCGCTTCGCTGTGGATCGGGAGGCTCGGCTGGGGCAGACTCCTTTCCCTGATGTTATGGAGCAGGTATTCCATGAAGTGGGCATTGGCAGTGTGCTCTCCCTCCAGAAGTTCTGGCAGCACCGCATCAAGGACTATCACAGTTACATGCTACAGGTGAGGCAACCCTGTGGGGAAGTGGATAAAGATGTGTAATCTAAGGGTGTTCAGCAGGATACCACAGTTGCTCTAGAGTGCAGAGCACAGGATCTTAGAACAGAGTGGACTTCACCTGCTTTCCTCATGAGGCCCTGTGTTCCATTGGCCTCATCACTGACCTGACCAGACTCACGGGCCTCCTTTAGTCAATGAATGGCCTCATTTATTGATAATACATCCTCTGAAAAAATTTATAGACAGGTAGGTATATGGAGTCTGAGAGAATGTGGTTAGCATGCTTTCATTCACCAAATATTTACTGAGTGCCTGCTGTGAGTCAGGCACCAGGATACAGCAGTTTACAAGACACGTTCCTTGAGTTTACATTCTTGAGAGGGAAACAAAAACAAGTAAATAATGATCAAAACAATTTCAGATGGCATTAAGTGCTATGAAAAACAAAACAAGTGATACTGCATCCAAGGGTGGAGGAGTGGGGAGAGACACCATTTTGGGTTAGAACCAGAAATATCTAATCTCGTCAACCCTGTGGCCTTAAGCAAGTCATTTGTTCAGTTTTGGTTTCTCCAAATCTAAAATATAAGGAATTTTAACACCCAACAAAAGAGTCTTTGCTATGTAATCCAGATTTCCTGCATCATTCATTATCCACCTAGGGTACATATGTCAGCTGTTAGTTTTTATAGCCAAAATGTGATCTTTTGTCCCAGTTCTGATTTATCTTTAACATGGTCTATTTTTCACCTTTATATAACTTTTAATTAATGACACACTCTCTGCCAAATTTTCTTTACATATCTCTTATCATTTACAAATGCAAATTCAACACCTTAAACAAATTCCTTCTATTGGCAGTGTATGCTTTATTCATATTCATATTCTGTTGGTTTTCCATGGGATGCCATAGCTGACTATCCAACTTGCTTTTAACATTTCCTTGGAAAACTGACTCTTGCTTGCCAACAGATTAGTAAGCAACTCTCTGAAGAGTATGAAAGGATTGTCAATCCTGAGAAGGCCACAGAGGACACTAAACCTGTAAAGATCAAGGAGGAACCTGTGAGCGACATCGCCTTCCCTGTCAGTGATGAACTGGAGACTGACCTTGCTTCTGGAGACCAGTCACTGCCCATGGGAGTCCTTGGGGCTCAGAGTGAGCGCTTCCCATCCAACCTAGAGGTTGAGGCTTCGCCACAGGCTTCAAGTAAGAGAAATCAACTTACTTTGATTCTGGGAGATCTGCCAATCTGAGTACGTGTTGTGTTTTTGAATCAACCTCTGGAGATGGAAGAATAAAAGTGGGTGTGGGCAAGAGAATGGAAAGTCTAAAAACAAATATAGCTTCACTGATCTAGAGATACCAGCATTCTTCTTTGTAATTAGTAAAGAGAGGACTAGCACAGCTTTACAGGCATTCTTTAAAATAATTCCTAGTTAGGATGTAGATGCATTATGTGTTATCCTATTGATTACCAGTTAATTCAGCTGACCCAGTTGGGTGGGCAGATGTCCCCTTCTTCCCTTCGTATTCTGTATTGGTCTTTCCTGATGCTTGTACTCAATTGATTGAGACAACTTCCAGATAGATTAATTGTTCTAGTTTGTGTGAATAGTTGGGCTTCCTTGCTAGAGTACCCCCAACAAATTGTAGCTGAAAGGGATTGAGATAGAGCTACTAGTTAGAGGCAGCTGGCCTCTTCTTCTAGATAGACTGTGATTACTTTAGGAACCAGGATGACTCGATCCTTAAGTCAGTCTGAGTGCAAATTAGTCTAGACACTCAGTTCTTTACAAATATAAATTATCATTTCATCAGTGCAGAAATGACACAAATAGCACATCATCTAGTGTGGCCTAAACAGGATTAAGCCACATTTTTAAAAGTATTGGGCAGAGCCTTTTACCCTGGAAGAAACAATAACCACATAACAGTATTGCTAGAACATACAGTGATGTGATGGCCAAAGAGAAACTATTGCAGACAAAGGGGCCATGTCTCTTTTCAGCAGTCTGGGAACTGTTGCCAGCATTTTGTAGTAATCATTAACTTTTCATAATGGAAGAGAGGACCAGGGACCTAAGAAAAAGGCTGGAAAACAAGACAGCCGCATAAAAGGAAGGAAGGTCAGGCATTCTTAACAGCAGAACAAGAGCCCATAGATGTGCTTATCTTTGGCCAGGAGACAGGGAATCTTTCACCTGCATAGTTTTACTTCCCTGGTTTAGGGAAAATGGAGGTGGGTGAAGTGGGGTAAAAGAGGGTGGAGGAAGTGGAAAGGAAGATATTCAGAATTGGTAACGTTCAAAGCAGAGAATAACAACCATATTCTACATCCAAGTAGAGAATCAGAGTGACAGCTGAGCTCAAAGGCCATCAGTCTGCCCTGGCTGGTATATTCATTCTTCTTTGTTCCATCCGTGGCATACCACTAGTTATATGTTGTTCTTCCATTTCTAGGTACAGAGGTAAATGCTTCCCCTCTTTGGAATCTGGCCCATGTGAAAATGGAGCCTCAAGAGAGTGAAGAAGGCAATGTCTCTGGGCATGGCGTGCTGGGCAGTGATGTCTTCGAGGAGCCCATGTCAGGCATGAGTGAAGCTGGGATTCCCCAGAGCCCTGATGACTCAGACAGCAGCTACGGTTCCCACTCCACTGATAGCCTTATGGGGTCCTCCCCTGTTTTCAACCAGCGCTGCAAGAAGAGGATGAGGAAAATATAAAAGGAAAAGAGAGAGATTTTCTGTCCAAACCTACAAGACCCAACAGAAAACCTTGATTATTCAAATTTGTTTTGATAAACAATGATTTGACTCTTATTCTTAAACACAGTGGGTTTTCCTGATTTCAGTGGAACTGGATTTAACAAAACAAGTTTGCATTTTACTTTTGCATCCATTTTTTGTAGTTTTCCACAACAACCAAGCCACCTTTCAGACAGACCACGACGCTGGGACGGTAATCAGGAAACCAAAGCACTGTCCCTGACTGTTGTCTTTACTGTGTGGTTAGACAAGTTACTTAGCTTCTCTAGAGCCATTTCTCTTGCACAACCGAGAAGAATAATACCGCTTTGACGTACCTTGCAGGGATGCTGTGAAGATCGAGATGTTATTAAACCTCAAATCTGTGCTTGAACAGACTCACAAGTAAATATATGCTGATAGCAAATGTCAATTTTTTAACTTGCTTCATTTTTTGGTTGAAGTCATTAGGAATCCAGTACTAATACCTAACAGGAAATAACTAAACACTGCACAACTTACCTATCAGTAGTCTTTTTAAAACTGTTTTTGCTGCCCATGAAGTCTCACAAAATCAGAGATCTGTGGTGACAGCCATTTTGCACATTCAGACAGCCCTCTCCTATTTCACCCATGTATTTCTTCCTTTTCTAGACTTATTCCATCTATCCCTAACCTTTTTATTTCCACTCAGATATTTTATATTTTCACCATGTACATTTTCTCAATTGTTTCTTTCACTTTCTCTTTTGTGAATGAAGTAAACAGGACCTTCCAAGGACAGATTTGTGCTTATTTCATTTGTTGCATCTGCTTAGCCATCAGAGGACAGCAGTCCATTCCTTTGTCAGAATTCTACATCTGCACCTTGTGCTTCTACTGGATGGGCAGCCTCTAAAATGATAACAATCTGCACCTTCCTACTTTATATCATGTCCTGAACAACTTTACTATTATTACTCAAACATCACAGTATCTGCCCTGCTTGGCATCTGATAGTCTCAATCAGTATTTATTACGTAAATGATGCAGCACTGGAATAATTAGGAGTAATTAGCAAATGTGTGCTTTATGCCTTAGTAATGGATGTCAGCATGTTAAATACTATTGAAGTTCAGTTTTTAGGTGCAGAGTATAAGTCTTGTGAAATTTAGAGCACTCCTTTAATAGACACCAAAAATTAAGGCACAGAGCTTTAATTAGTACATTATTGCGTGCCTGAAATGTCCCAGGCAGCATTGAGAATAAAGATGAATGCAATAGCAACAAAATGAAGTTATAATTTAAACTGTTACCAGATCATTTATAAATTTGTGAATTGTACATCCTTAGCACAATTAGCTAGACCCTTTCTGTTCCAGGCTCAGCTTCATTTTCCCTTATTTATGAAAGTAGCCATCTAGTATTTAATCCCTTCAGTTAGCAAACATTTATTGAGTATCTATTATGAGCTAGGTCCTGTGCAAGGGATACAAGATGAGTAAGACTTTGTCCCTACCCTTATGGAGCTTAGAGCATAAGCCAGACAAGTCATTCTTTAAGGAAAAGTATTCAAAGGCACTACGGGGAAAAACCAGGTATGTGTAGACCTTTGCTGTACAAATGGTTTCCTCTTAAAGAACAGGTTCAAATTTTTAGACTTGTGGTTCCCACTGGTTATAGAATATTGAAATTAATACTTCATGGTAAAATAAAATACTTTTATTTATTTTTAGAATGTTTAAATTGGAGAATAGTCACCAAATGGTCAAGGTTAGGGTACTCGGATAAAGCAGGTCCTGTGAGGATACCTGAGATTCACCTGGCCTGGAATTATGTCACAGGCTATTTGAGTTAGAGCAGTGGTTCTCAAAATTAGCATGCATCAGAATCCCCTGGGGCGCTTATTAAGACAGATTGCTGGCCCCCACCTGTAAAGTTTCTGGTTTAGGTCTTGAGTGTCCCGTTTCTAATAATTTCCTAGATGATGCTGATGCTTCTGGTCCAGAGACCACACTTTGAGAACCACTGAATTGGAATATAGATTAGACTGGGATAAAATTCCTTAAGAGAAATGTATGATGTTTTAAGATACTGTGAGGACTCTGGAGGCAGGGCAAACCCTTACCATGGCTGTTATGTATGGAATGTGCACCTGACCCAAATCCATGGCCTTTGAGTAAATCACCAAGGATACTTTGCATTAAATTCAAAGTACAATATAAACAGGGCCTGGCTCTGTAGCTGGTTACTAGGTATGTGTACATGGGAAACTTTAGTAACCATCACCTCCTTATTGAGACAGGTTTGGACATGTGGCTTTAAACCTCTCTACTGAAAAGAAGTGATTCTATTTGCAAATATATAATTTTCTTATTTGAAATTATGACAAGCAGACTTACAACAAAGTTAAAATAAAAAACTATCCAAGTGATCACTGAAAGCAGGATTCTTATTAATTATATGTTTTGCCCACTTTCTTCAATGAACCTCGTGTTCTATAATGAGCTACCCAGTGTGAGGTGCATTTCATACCAATGTTGACTGGTTGCCAAGGAGACTCCACTGCCACTCTGGACAAGCTCATGTTTCCCCTCTCCCTTTCTACTAAAAGGAGGGGAACTCATGGTACAGGGTCAAGGGCAAGATCCTGGGGAAGTAGAAGCTATCGATCCAGCCTATTAATAGAGATTTGAAGTGAACACTAAGTTCTCTCTCTTTTCCATCCATCAGCAGCAAAAGTACTTGACTTCAAATGATAAAACTTGCAGTTTTAGACTTAAATGGATATCAGCATCCAAGAACAGTCAGAATATCCTTCCTTGCATAAATCCAAGGGAAAGGCCAAGGGGAAGTGGCATCTACCTGCCAGGTCCAAGTGTCTTCTATCCCTGGCTTCATCTGAGTCTGGAGATTTCCCAAATAAGAGAAACTCTGCTATTCTGAACAAAATTGTTCTTTATATTAGCTCCCAATCAGAGGTAAAGATAACTCCTTCACACAGAGTTCCAAAATTTTGGACTTCTGGAAACTATTTGTTGTTTCTCTTCCAGTACTGTGCCATTGATTCTTGCATAAAATTCTGGAATGCTGGCTCTTCATGGCTTTCCTCTGTAACTGCAAGGAAAAAAGAAAGTCAATTCTTTTTAAACTCTCCCATTAGATAGGTGGATTCGAGTTGCTGTCACTCATCCATCAGAAATAGTATTTCTAAAAAACTAAGTGTTCAATTCTCCCATTAAGGAATTATCTTCCAAAAGCATGCTCTATTTATCATGTTGTCCAAAATGTACAATTTCTTTTATCTGTAAGTGGGGAGAACACCTCCCTCATAAAGTAACTAAAATGAGGTCCCACTCCTACATATTTTTAACCAAGAGAAATGAAAACATATGTCCACACAAAGACCTATTAACGAATGTTTATAGCAGCTTCATTCATAATAGCCAAAATCTAGAAACAATTCAGATGTCAATCAGCTAGTGAATGGATAAACAAACAGTGGTACATCCACATGATGGAATATTACTCAGCAATAAAAAAGAACATACTACTGATACGTGCAACAACATGGATGGATCACAAAACCATTGCACTGAGTGAAAAAAACCAAATGCAAGTTAAATACTGTGATTCCAATTATACAACATTCTGGAAAAGGCAAAATTATAGGAACAGAGATCACATCAGTGGTTGCCAGGAACTAGGTGTGCAGGAAGAGACTGAATAAAAACGGGCATGAGGTGGGAGCCAGCCTGGTGGGGTAGTGGTTAGGTTCGCACGCTCCACTTCAGGGGCCCAGTGCTTGTGAGTTCAGACCCCAGGCATGGACCTACGCACCGCTTGTCAAGCCATGCTGTGGTGGCATCCCGCATACAAAGTGGGGGAAGACTGGCATAGATGTTAGCTCAGGGCCAATCTTCCTCAGCAAAAAAATAAAAATAAAAAAAATAACAGAGAAACGGGCATGAGGGAACTTTTGAGGTGATGGAAGTGTTCTATATCTCGATTATGATGGTGATTACAAGACTATATATGTGTTAAAACTCATCAGACTATATATACTTTAAAAGGGTAGGTTTTGGGGCCAGCCCCGGGGCTTAGCAGTTAAGTGCGCGCGCTCCACTACTGGTCGCCTGGGTTCAGAGCCCAGGCCGCACCGACGCACCGCTTGTTGGGCCATGTTGAGGCGGCGTCCCACATACAGCAACTAGAAGGATGTGCAGCTATGACATACAACTATCTACTGGGGCTTTGGGGAGAAAAAGGGGAAAAAAAAGGAGGATTGGCAATAGATGTTAGCTCAGGGCTGGTCTTCCTCAGCAAAAAGAGGAGGATTGGCGTGGATGTTAGCTCAGGGCT